AAACAACATATCTATTTCCTCCCAAGGAAGGGGTTTCAAATGGACCACAAACATCTGAATAAACAACATGTAGCAATTCTTTGGCCCGAGATGAAATGGATGAATTAAAAGGCAATCTGTGTTGCTTACTAATCAAACAGTTATCACACAATTTACCAGGCATTTGAATGGAGGGTAGGCCATTAACCATACCTTTGTTGTGCAGGTTACACAGATCTCTGAAATTAAGGTGTCCATATCTAAGATGCAACAGCCAGTTGTTGTCATTACCCAACTCAGTTTTCAAGCAATAGGATTCCATTGCAGAGATCTGCACTTGAAATGTTCTATTGCTTGAGATTGGCACCTTGAAAATCCTCTTACAAGAAGAATCAAGCACTTCTAAATACCCTTGCTCAAGATGCATCACAAACCCTTTCTCTAGAAGCTGTCCTAGACTCAAAAGGTTGCTCTTCATTCCTGGTACATAGAGAACATCTGTGATCACAGCATCTGAACCATTATGCCTTCTTACAATCACATCACCAGCTCCTTCTGCAGCAGTCACCCTATCGTCTGCAAATCTGACTTTACTTTTCTTTGAAGAATCAAAGTTGACCAACCAATTCATGTGTCCTGTCATATGGTTAGAGCAGCCTGAGTCAAGATACCATATGTTAGCATTCAGATCATCATGATTGGTTGTCATCATTAACATCACAGGTTCCTCATCAGTCTCCTTCCCATCATGGACCATATTGGCTTCATCCCTTTGAATATTTGCCTGATCCCCTTGTGCAGGAGCTCTACATTCAGTAGAAAAATGGCCAATCTTATTGCAGTTGAAGCACTTTATTTTCTTCCTGTCAATTTTCCTCTTTCCACCTCTTTGTTTATTGAACCCCCCCTCCCATTGGAGGATTCAGGTTGTTCTTGATGCTCAGAAGGAGAATTTCTTCCAGAATTGTATTTGTTTGATCTTCCCCTGCCTCTGCCTCGGAATCCACCTCTACCCTGGTAATTGGATTTCTTGGATGTTTGGGCCTGAAGCACTTGCTCTACTGAATCTTCCTCTTTCCGTTCCTTCATCCTTTGTTCATAGGCTTGCAAAGAACCTGTCAAACGCTCCAATTTGTAGGTTGCAAGATCCTTCGTTTCCTCAATTGCAGTAACAACATAGTCGAAATTGGGAGTCAATGTTCGCAATACCTTCTCCACAATCATTTGTTCAGTCATCGTTTCTCCACAGTTCTTCATCGCATTTGTCAATGCGATAATCCGATTGATAAAATCCTCAACTGTTTCACCTTTAGACATCTTCAGTAATTCATATTGCCTTCGCAATGTTTGCAATTTCACTTTCTTGAGTTGATCTGCACCCTCATTGCATTGTTCCAGGATTTTCCAAGCAGCGTGAGCAGATGGAGCGGATGCGATCTTCTCAAAGTGAGCATTATCCACACACTGGTGAATAATGAACATGGCTTTGAAATCTCTCTTCTTATTCTCCTTAAACGCAGTCCTTTCCGCATCTGTAGGGTTCTCGGTTAACGTCGGGAATCCATCTTCCACGATATCGATGACCTCCTGGTATGCGAATACCACTTTCATCTGTACTGACCACCGGTGCCAGTTCTTGCCATCAAGAATCGGGAGATTAGCCGGAAAGCTGGTGGAGTTCATCGCCATGTCTCGCAAAGTATCTCGCTCTGATACCAAGTTTGTTAGAACAGTTGAAAATAGAAACGGAAAGTATATCCCAGATATTTTGGAAGGGGAAAAATGACTGAACTAAAATATTCAGCCTCTCAACTCTTATTTATAGAAGTTGTACAATACAGCACTTATTGACTACTTTGACTATTATACTCTTAACAAAGTGGTGTATTTTATTTAGACTAGACTTGGTACCATTGAGGATGCTCTTAGTGTTTTCTCTTTGTTTTCCAGGTTGGAGGATGGAGTGAATCATTCGGACAATTAAGGGATGAGAAAAACGTGTCCTGCTTGATATTTGCTTCGGTGAGGGGTGGATCACATTTTGTGCCATCCTCGTCTCCATCAGAGGCTCTCACACTGTTCAAAGCCTTTCTAAAGGGGACTCCGCCACCGCTATCATCGAGTGAGAGACAATCATAGAGGTGATAAACAAGAGCCAAACAGAGAATTATTATGGGCTCCTATACATTATTTTAAATGAATTACTTGTATGAAAGCCGTCATCCCAAACTTTAATAAAAGCCTTATTGTACCCGTGCGTTGAGCAACCACATTAACCTATGCATGGGCATAATAAATTTTTAGGCCTCAAATACACATTTTCGAGCTTGAGCAAGCATTAACCTTTTTTACATTCATAGACACCTTTGTAACTTTGTTTACACATCATATTTCAAGATGCATGTTCCTGCTGCTGAAAAAGGGGGCTGATCATAATCCAGTCCATACCAGAAAACCGGACCGAACTGGACTGGTTGGTTTAGACCGGACCCGGACCGAATAGATACCGGTCCGATCTTCGGTCCAAAAGCTTTTGCGGTCCCGGTCCGGTTAGACCTAAATTAAATTATTATGTGTGTGTGTTGTGTGTATTTATTAAAATTGTATACAATAAACATACTTTAATTAAATTACTTTTAGAAAAGTACATTAATTAAGTGATACAATACCTTAGACATTAACTCAAATTACATACGTAGTATTATTTACGTATTTACACTAGTAAAATTTTGTAGCATAAAAGTAAAAACATTAGGAGTTAGAATGTCGCATTGCATTTACTTATTTTTACTTGTTTCAACCATAATAATAGTGTGATTAATTGAACTCTTCTCTGATAAATGCGCAAAGCTATTGAGTCAAATCATTCACTGAATTAATCAAGCAAGAAGCATTAGTACTAAAATGGTCATGCACAAAATTGTATAGTCAAAATTAAGTCACATATTTTTCATATTTTCACTAGGCATAGTTCATGTGTTCATTTATACTTATTTAATGTTTTTTCTACTTATTTGATATATTGTAATGTATATTATGTTGATTAAGAGACATAAAAATTACAAATCATACATATAAAAGAATAAATTAGAAATAATGGCATACTACGTATAATCAGGGCCGGTCCTGACTAAATGAGGGCCCTGTGCAAAAACCAAAAAAATGGCCTTCCTTTTCTATGCGAATCCTTCCTAGTTTGACTTAGATTGGAGTTTCACGAAGTGATGATAAAGTGAAAATGTATGGTTATGATTAAGTAACAAAAATTTAAATAAATGCTAGTCACACAAAACTTTCTAAAAAAGAAAATGAGAATAATTTTTTGAGACATTCCAAAAAAGTAAATGAGAATACATTTACGAGACTTCAAGAAGAAAAAAGTAAATGAATTTTATCCCAAAAAGTAATAATAATAATAATAATAATAATAATAATAATAATAATAATAATAATAATAATAATAATAATAATAATAATAATAATAATAATAATAATAATAATAATAATAATAATAATAATAATAATAATAATAATAATAATAATAATAATAATAATAATAATAATAATAATAATAATAATAATAATAATAATAATAATAATAATAATAATAATAATAATAATAATAATAATAATAATAATAATAATAATAATAATAATAATAATAATAATAATAATAATAATAATAATAATAATAATAATAATAATAATAATAATAATAATAATAATAATAATAATAATAATAATAATAATAATAATAATAATAATAATAATAATAATAATAATAATAATAATAATAATAATAATAATAATAATAATAATAATAATAATAATAATAATAATAATAATAATAATAATAATAATAATAATAATAATAATTTTAATGCGAAACACAAATTGTAGAGTAATTGTTGGAGGCTAATTTGGTTCCCACTCATAAAGTGCTATAGGTTTGTCCAAAAAAATGAGCTAAAGCATTTCGTGTGAGTGCCTAATGTGTACTCTGTCTTTTTATTATACTTCCCACACCGGAAGAATCAACAACTCTCCTTCCACTTTGAGTCTTTGACTACATAAGTATCCTCTTGCGTTCGAGTTTTCAAAACACGCAGCATGAAGTTTGGGCTTAATATTGTAAGGGTCTGATGAGCTGTGATTTCTAATAAAAAGCCGAAATTTGTTCTCAGTCTCAAGCTGGGCCGCCTCTTTTCTCGCCAAATATGTGGGCTAGGCGTTTGCAGTCTGCCTTTCGATTAGGCCTAGCTTTTCAGCGCAAGGTTGTTAAAATCGTATTTTTGAATAAAATCGGTAGATGTTTTTAAAAATCGAATCGTAAAATCGAATCGCAAATCGTAAGATTTTACCAAACATATTTTAATAATTATAAAATAAATAAATATTAAAATTAAGTTGAAAGTTAATGATATTATATCATTTCATTACATAAAACTATACCTAAAATGTCAAAAGCAAGATTTATAAACTGTTTTTATAATGTAAATGTATTGAATAATAACATTAAACATATGTAAAACATAAAAATAATTAAGTAACACAAGAATCCATTACTTTTATAAATAAACGATTCATATTATTATTAATGGAATTCTGTATCAATTTGTAGTTGTTAATTTTAATAAATTTGAACCATTTTCACCAAAAACAACTTATTACGATTTTGCTACGATTTTGCTACGATTTTATACGATTCTACACGATTTTAGGACGATTTTTTACGATTTTGTACGATTTTATGATTTTACAATTTTACCTGCAATTTGAATCGCTTTATTAATGTAGAATCGTAAAATCGTACGATTTTACGATTTAAATCGAGATTTTAACAACCATGTTTCAGCGTCGTTGTATATAATGGAGTATTAATATTATTTTTGGGCCTTCGGAATTTATGGGCCCTGTGCGAGTGGGCTGCCTAATAGAAACAACAAGCTAGTAAGTAAGGGTCCGTTCGGTATGATTTTGTGTTTTATGTTTTTTGTTTTTAGAAATCAAAAAGCTATGTTATAAAATGGAATGAAATAAGCAGAAGATCAGGGAGAGAAAGTATAGTCTGAATACTTAGTGAGAAAGATGTTATTAGAAGTGTGATAATGGTGTATTTACAATGAAGGAGAATGCTCCTATTTATAGGAGAAAATGTAATCATGTCTAGATCAGGGGCTAATTGTGAGCCATACAATTATCATCTAGAAATCATAATTATGATTTCTTATTTATATTAACAATGATGATAATTGTTCCTGATCATGAATAGTTGGAAGATGACGATTCAATATATTTCAACACTCCCCCTTGAATGGTCATCTTCTAATTATTCTGGGGTATTAGTTTCATAGTATTATAATGTACTGTCTCGTTAAAAACCTTTGTCAATAAAAACCCAGTGGGATAAAAACCTGACGAAGGGAAAAAGGGTGCAGTGCATTATATTACTCCCCCTCAATTTAACATATATCTCGAAGACGATACATTCCAATTTTATGGACCAGTTCTTCAAATTTCTTCGGTGCCAATGACTTTGTGAACAAATCAGCAGGGTTGTCGCATGACTTAATTTGTTTGACATCAACCGTTCCGTCTTTCTCAAGATCATGTGTGGAGAAAAGTTTTGGTGCTATATGCTTCGTCCTGTCCCCTTTGATGTAACCTCCTTTGATCTGAGCTATACATGCTGTATTATCTTCATAAATCACAGTAGGATTAGAAGTAAAAGATTTTATACCGCATTCATTTTGTATGTGCTGGATCATTGATCTCAACCAGACACACTCACGACCTGCTTCATAAAGAGCAATTAATTCTGCATGATTTGATGATGTTGCAGTTAATGTTTGCTTCATTGATCTCCATGATATAGCGGTATCACCATAGGTGAATAAATATCCTGTTTGTGATTTTGCCTTTTGTGGATCAGACAAGTATCCTGCATCCGCGTAGCCAATTAAAGTGGCATTTGCACCATTCTTGAAATACAATCCAAGATCGATTGTACCATTGAGATATCGGAATATATGTTTGACACCATTCCAATGCCTTCTTGTTGGGGAAGAACTGTGTCTGGCTAATAAATTTACAGAAAAAGCAATATCTGGTCGAGTATTATTAGCCAAATACATTAATGCTCCAATAGCACTCAAATATGGTATTTCGGGACCAAGGATTTCTTCATCATCTTCACAAGGTCGGAAAGGATCATCATGCACATTGAGAGATCGAACCACCATTGGAGAATTGAGCGGATGTGCTTTATCCATGTAAAATCGCTTCAAAAGTTTCTCGGTATAATTTGATTGGTGGATGAAAATACCATTTCTCAAATGCTCAATTTGAATGTCGAGACAAAATTTTGTTCTCCCAAGGTCTTTCATTTCAAATTCTTTCATGAGATATTTTGCAGTATTTTCAATTTCATTAGGAGTTCCGATTATATTCAAATCATCAACATATACTGCAATTATGGCGAATCCTGATTCAGATCGATGAATGAAAACACATGGACTAATAGGATCATTTTTATACCCTTCTTTAATCAAATATTCAATGAGACGGTTATACCACATGCGTCCAGATTGTTTTAATCCATATAATGACTTTTGCAATTTTATGGAAAATAAATCTCGAGATTTCGAGCTATAAGCATCAGGTATTTTAAAGCCTCCAGGAATTCTCATATATATGTCTGTATCGAGTGAACCGTATAAATATGCGGTCACCACATCCATTAGGCGCATTTGCAGCCTTTCAAAAACAGACATGCCAATTAAAAATCTTAAAGTTGTAGCATCAACTACTGGAGAATACGTCTCATCATAATCGATTCCTGGCATTTGAGAAAAACCTTGGGCAACAAGTCGGGCTTTGTATCTAACGATTTCATTTTTCTCGTTGCGTTTACGCACAAAAACCCATTTAAAACCGACAGGTTTTACGCCTTTTGGCGTATGGACAATTGGTCCAAAAACATTACGCTTTTCTAGCGATTTTAATTCTACCTGAATTGCTTCATTCCATTTTGGCCAATCATTTCTATGACGACATTCGTCAATAGATTTAGGCTCATTGTCATCGTGTTCATTCATTATATCTGTGGCGATGGCATATGAAAATATATGATTAACATCAATATCATTTCTATTCCATTGTATTCTATTAGAAACGTAATTAATTGAAATTTCAAAATTATCGACGTTTCTATCTTTATCTGGAATATTTACCTCTTCGAAGGTGATTGGATCCTCTTTTGAGGTATCATTATTATTGATGTTATCTTCAAGGCCGATATTTTCAAAATGTTCATTTTCTTCTTGAGAAGGTTGAGCTTCTTTGGCATCACAAACTACAACTTGCTGTTTAAATTTTCTTGGTTTCAAATCTCTTGAACCAAGTGGTCTACCACGTTTTTTACATATCATAGATTCATTAGCAAGAGTTCTTTTGCTAATCTCCGCAGGAATTTCTATTCGAGAAGGAGCATTCATAGCTGGAACATGTGACTTTGTCACTTTCTTTGAGTCTATAAAAGCATCAGGCAATTGGTTTGCAACATTTTGTAAATGAATAATCTTTTGAATTTCTTGTTCACAAGCATTTGTGCGAGAATCAAGAAAAGATAAATTTGTTGCATTCCAAGTAATATCTTTCGTACGTCGGTCCATTTCTTTAATATCTCCCCCTAAGGCTGGGAATACTGTCTCATCAAAATGACAGTCATCGAACCGCGCGGTGAATAAGTCACCGGTCATAGGTTCTAGATAATTAATAATTGAGGGTGATTTAAAACCAACATAAATTCCCAGTCTTCTTTGAGGACCCATTTTAGTACGATAAGGTGGAGCAATTGGTACATACACAGAACAACCAAATATTTTTAGGTGTGATATATTTGGTTCTTTACCAGATATTAATTGTAATGGGGAAAATTTATGATATGCTGTTGGCCTAAGCCGAATTAAATTTGCAGCATGCATTATAGCATATCCCCATGCAGACGATGGTAATCTGGATTTCATCAATAATGGTCTAGCAATTAATTGTAATCGCTTAATTAAGGATTCGGCAAGACCATTTTGTGTATGTACATGTGGAACTGGATGTTCCACATCAATCCCAATTGACATGCAATAGTCATTAAAAGATTGGGATGTAAATTATCCTGCATTATCAAGTCGGGTTTTCTTTATCGAATAATCCGGAAATTGTGATCTCAAACGAATAATTTGAGCAAGGAGATTTGCAAATGCAAAATTTCTAGTCGATAAAAGACTGACATGTGACCAACGTGTTGATGCATCAATGAGCACCATAAAATATCGAAACGGTCCACACGGAGGGGTAATTGGCCCACAAATATCTCCTTGAATTCTTTCTAAAAATGCAGGAGATTCAACTCCAATTTTGTATAAAGATGGCCTGATAATTAATTTGCCAAGAGAACAGGCAGTGCACGGAAAATCACTTGATTGTGGAATCTTGACATTAGTTAATGGATGTCCACGTGAATTTTCAATAATTTTGTGCATCATAGTGCTGCCTGGATGACCTAAACGGTCATGCCACAAGATAAAGGAATTGTGGTCATAAATTTTAGATACCACATTTATCTCAATTGGACTGATATATGTATAATACAGTCCCGAGGAATATGCTGGCATTTTTTCAGAAATGTATTTATTGCCAGATCTATTTGTCGTTAGACATAAATATTCCTTCTGATTTTCAGACATGGTTTCAATATGAAAACCATTTAGACGCAAATCTTTAAAGCTCAAAAGATTTCTCCGTGATTTACTGGAGTATAAAGCGTCTTTAATTATTAATTTTGTCCCTTTTGGGAGAATCACACAGGCTATTCCAGAACCTTCAATGAGTTTAGCAACACCTGAGATTATATTGACATTAGCATCAACTAATGTCATATGAGAAAAATAATCTCTATGTCTCAAAATGGTGTGCGTTGTGGCACTGTCTATTAGACATTGTTCAGAGCCACTTGGAGAAATTTTAGTTAACTCCATATCTTCGAAAAGATAAAAATGAACAAATATTAGTTCAATACTGTAATATAAACAAGGCTTTATTCATTAAAATGTACATAACATTTACAATCAAATAAGCACACCAAATAAAAATTACAATACAAACAAACTTTTATTGTAGAATATATTACATAACAGAATTATTTCAAATTCCTTTTTATTTACTTATTTATTATTTTTCACCCATAATGATGTCGGTGTTCATCTCATTATCGTCCATATAGAAATCAGACACATTGAATGTGGGCATTGGTGGATCATTTTCGTTGACGTAATTAGTTTCCACATTCTTTCCTTTTAGAGATGATTTATATAAATCAATCAAGTGTCTAGGTGTACGACACTTATTTGCCCAATGTCTCGACGTGCCACACTTAAAGCAAGTGACTTTGGCCTTTTCTGAAGATTTCGTCGGGCTCTTTGTTTGATGGCGGTTTTGCTTACCCTTGCCTTTGTAAAATGAGCTACTACTCTGTTTGTTTCCCCAGCTAGGTCCATTATAACGACCAATACCACGACCACGTTTGAAATGTCCACGACCACCACTATGGGTTGCATTTGATTCATGTTTTGAACCATGATTTGGTGGACCAAATCTAACCGGGCTACAACCCGTGGGTCTCATATTGTGGTTTCTCATCAAAATGTCGGTATTCGTCTCAGCAAATAGTAATACTGATATCAAATCAGAATACTTTTGAAAATGCTTTTGTCTATATTGCTCTTGTAAAAGCACATTTGAAACATGCATAGTGGACAAAGTTTTCTCCAACATTTCAGCATCAGTGACTTTTTGTCCGCATAACTTTAGTCTTGATGTTATTTGGAACAAAGCAGAATTGTAGTCACTTACAGATTTGTAATCCTGGAATCGTAAATTGATCCAGTCATATTGAGCTTTTGGTAAAAGGACCTTTTGTTGATGGCCATACCTTTCTTGGAGATTATCCCATAATTCTTTAGGGTCATCTACCAATAAATACTCAGATTTCAAACTTTCATGAAGATGATGGCGAAGAAAGATGATGGCTTTTGCCTTATTTTGGGGAGTGACTGAATTATTTTCAGCAATTGTATTTTCAAGGGCATTTGCTTTCAAATGTGCCAAAGCGTCGACTTTCCATTCCAAATACTTTTGGCCAGATAAATCAAGGACGTCGAACTCTCTTTTGCTAATATGTGCCATTAAACTACATAAATTATGAATTTAAGTTTAATTAGTAAGAGTAAATATATATACTAGTATTCTATAGATTGGTACGTGTATAGCCAATTTTTTTTTATAGTACGTGATTTGCCTTTATCTATTTAGATAAATCCATAACAGAGTAATAGTAACAAAAATCTTGCTGCTCATTCACAGAGATTTTGTTAACATAACAGAGTAGTAATTCTAAAAGAAATCACGTGAAGCATCAGGACTGCATTATTGTTCAGTTTCAGTAGTGTACAACAAATAGCATTAAATTCATTGTCTTTTGAAACCTTTAAAATATTTAGACTTCAAAGCAGTGATGAGGCCGTGAGGGAGCAAGCTCACGTGAAGTAAAGCCAAAAATATATATTTGGATCGGAGCAAGTTCTTATGAAAGCATATTAGTCCGTCACTTTTACATAGATTTTCTTTCAGTGTTCTTTCAGTTTGAATTGCTCATAGTTCAAATGAAAGTTAAGAGTTTCAGTTTCTAAGGCATATATCCATATATCTCTCTAGTATTTTATTTTTAGTGTTTACCCATAATATTAAATCAATTATTCTGGAGTATCATCACTGACTTAATATGTATACACACATTGTATGGATTTGAGATGCATAACTTACGTAGTATAGTTTACGTAATACTCCGTATTTATTTACAGGGTTGAGGAGTGATATTAGTAATTAATACGTAGTACTGTAGTTTATATAATTATATATGAATGCAATTTATAATAGCAATAATAAATTTGTGGGGCTCCTAGTTAAGCTCATACATGAGCTGTATCCACCCACATGGAGAGACCCACAACTAGTCCTTATCTATTACCCATAGACAGACTTAGTATTATGTAGTACACATATATGTATGGTTCATATCTTTGAAGAATCGGGAAGTGCCATTATCTTGTTTTTTGTAGTTTAGAAATTCTGAGCTGAGACATGACGTGGTGAAGAACAAGGAGTTGGCCGGAGAAATAGTAGATACTTCACACTTTATACTCGGAACTCCGTATTTCAGAAGGTATGTTTTATTTATTCATTAATCCTTAAATAATACTATCTACTCCGTATGGAGTATTTACAAGTATATTACTTGTATTAGTTTATTTCTTGAAAATAAACTTATAATGATTAACTTCGTAGAACATACTTTGAAAAATAATTTGGTGTGCCTTCTTCATTTTCAGCTGAAATATAAATTATAACTATAATTTTCTGATGTGGAGGATCCAAATCATTGGCAACCACAGAGCATACTTTTATAGTTTTGAATGTATATATGTATACGTAGTATATACATGATCATACTTTTAATTTCCACTTCTTCTTTTCTCAGATTAGTAGAATCAATCACTGAAAATTATACCTGCTGGGAAGATGATGATTTCGGGGATGTGGAGCAAATTCGTGCTGATAACGTGTTATAAAATGGAATGAAATAAGCAGAAGATCAGGGAGAGAAAGTATAGTCTGAATACTTAGTGAGAAAGATGTTATTAGAAGTGTGATAATGGTGTATTTACAATGAAGGAGAATGCTCCTATTTATAGGAGAAAATGTAATCATGTCTAGATCAGGGGCTAATTGTGAGCCATACAATTACCATCTAGAAATCATAATTATGATTTCTTATTTATATTAACAATGATGATAATTGTTCCTGATCATGAATAGTTGGAAGATGACTATTCAATATTTCAATATATCTCAACAGTTTTCTGTTTTTTATTTTCACTTTTCTGAAAACAGTTTTATTTTCACTCTATTCGTATGTTAGCAAATACACTTTTAGACACTTCCATGATGAGTATTGTCTTTCTTATGTTTCAGAAAGATTAAAAAACTTCCTCGCCGGAGCAATATCAGTGCTAGAGGCTGAGTTAATTGGGATACGGGAGGCCTTGAGTTGGCTGCTTGATTCGGAATGGAGGGACGTTGAAGTGGAGTCTGATTCTTCCCGGGCTATTATGGAAATTTCGAAGGGCTCGAGTAATTCTTCCTTTGGGTTGGTTGCGGATGATATTCGAGATCTTGCTAAGAACTTTTCCGGCATCTCTTTTTCTTACGTTAGGAGGTCAGCGAATAGGGCAGCTCATGTTTTGGCACAGAGGACTTGTTCTTTGTCTGATTCTCAGTTTTGGTTTCATGTTCCAACTTTATTTCTTTCTTTATTGGACAATGATTTGATTAATATTAATTAATTTTTCACCCGTCAAAAAAAAAACTTCCTCGCCAGTTAGCAAATACAATTTTTCTAAGCATCCAGCCGATTAAAAAAATAGATCATAAACTAAATCTTTTTAAAACAGCTGAAAGATGATAAATAGAAACAGATGAAAAAACCCTGCAATTTGGAGGCAGACTTGCTGCAGCAGGTTGATTGAAGATGGAGAAGATGGATGTTCAGCGGCGATAGAGAAAAGCAGACCAAGAGAGGGTAGGGTTTTTATTTTATTGAAGGAGACGGCCATGGGATAGAGTGATTAAATATTTCCTTAAACCACCTTTTGTGGATTTGATAATATCGTTTCTGTTTTCAAAAAACAATTCGTACTATTCTGGAATTAGGAAACGGAAGTAACTTTCACCGAACGTGTTTTGTTTTATTTTTAAAGAAAAAAAATGGAAACTTGAAAACCGCAGCGATACAGAACGAGCCCTAAAATTTTGAACTATCAAAACTGTTTTTTAAGAGAAGAAACATTGTAAAAATAGTACATCCTCCGTCCCATTTTGGTTGTCTTACTTTCCTTTTTAGGTTGTCCCAAAATGAATGTCTTGTTTTCTTTTTTGGCAAGAAATATGTGATCTTTATCATTTTACTTAATTCTACTCAAATCTCAACCACAACTTTTACTTTTCAACCACTTTATTAATAATCGTGCACAATTGAAAGTAGACAATCATTATGGGACGGAGGTAGTATCTTTTAAAAATCCAATCCAATATCAATCCGGATCAGAAAAAATGGAATAATCTGATCTGGTCCGGTCCTAGGCGTGCCAACCGGTTCCGGTCCCATCTTGAACATGTGCTCAGCCCTAGCTGGAATAAATGAGTGTGAGCCATGTTGCATGCTCCCATCATTAAACGACTAATCAAAACTTAGCCTTATTTTAATGATTGACCGGGCCCGAGCCTCGAAACGGGCTTGGGCGGGAGTGCGGGACTGGGGTTTGGGAAATCAGGCACAATACCGGCCCGAGTTGGTACCGGGACCGGGGCATGTCTCGGGTCAGGTTCGACTTTTTTTTGAGAAAATTCCTGAAATATGAGGAAATAAGTTTGAAAGTTCCAAAATAGGACTGTCATGTTTTTATTCCCAAAATAGGAGTAATTACTGCCAAGTTTGAAAAATACTGTCATCTTTAAAGCCTGATACTGCCAAAACATGTCAGTAAGTAGTCCTATTTGGGGGGGGAATGATAGTCCTATTTTGGATTTTTCAAACGTTTTTAGTCTTATTGAAGGTAATTTCCCCTTTTTTCAACTTTTGTTTAAAAATCAATACAACAAATGCTAGACAATAAAAAGTGAAATTATATTTATTTGGAATAAGAACTACACGTCTACACTTGAGAATTGAGAAAAATTTAAAACATTAGATGCATTTCCTAAAATTCTAAAAACCAGTCGGAATATCTGGCACCATCGGCTGTCGTTGACTACTAGAAAAATAGCTATTTGCCGCGATTATTTTTATCTATTTGTTGCGGTTATTTTTAGCTATTTGCTGCGGTTCTGATTTCTGAACCGCAACAATTGGCACCGCTGCAAATAGTATGAAAACATATTTGCTACAGTTTAGAACCACAGCAAATAACTAATTTTAAAAAATTGATGCGGTTCTGACCCACAACAAATACATATTTAAAAAAAAACAGATTTTGACTTATTGCGGCGGTTCCCCAACATTGAAAAAAATCTTAAATCCTCCCATTCTTATCACATTATTTTAATTTTATTATGGGAAAATGGAAACTAATAATCCAACCTTTTAACGGTACGGTTTTCTTACAATAGTCCCAGCTTTTCGTTATTCATGAATGATCCAACCTTTGCACCTCATCTTCATTCACTGGTCTCTGACCGGTTGATGACTTGCTATTCCAAGTTATTTTCTTATTTTTGCAAACCATTATACCATAAATCTCACATTTCACAAAGATAATATTTTGCAAAGATAAGAAAATAACTTGAAATAGCAGGTCATTAACCGATTAGGGACCAACGAATGAAGATGGGGTGCAAAGGTTCTAAGGTTGGATTATATTCTTGAATAACGAAAAGGTGAGACTATTGTAAGAAGACTGCTAAAAAGTTGGTTTATTAGTTTCCATTTTTCCTTTTTATTATACTATCCAAATTTACAATCTTGTATGTAAAATACGAAACATTCATTTCGGCAATATCAGTTCAGCATCTTAAAACACAAACCAAAATCATTATTCCAACAGGGATTTGTTATACATCACCACAATTTACAATGCATACATCAGGAATGAACATATCTTTATACGTTGATCAAAACTAATTGTCTACCTATATTATTATTACATACGTATATCATCACATTATCACCAATTCACTTTCTTCATTACTCGGCAAAAGTTCATCTCTTCTAGTGCTCTGATAAACCTAAAATATTAAAAAGCACACAATTAGGTAAAAATCACTGGGTCACAGCCTCACGGGTCATCTCAGCCAACACCCAGCCAAAATTTTTTGAATAAAAATTAATATACAAATAGTTATTTGTTATTATTAAATTCAAGTAGAATAACTATCTTTCATGATTATTCAAATATTATGATAAACAAATGTAAATGTTTTCCAAATCTAGCGAAATGGTGCCCAAATACATGACTTACCATTTATCTGGAACACTAAAACGTCCAAATACACTGTTGAAAAAAAAAAGCAACTCTAATTAGGAAATATGCAAGCATCTGTCATCTGTATAGCATACATATATACATTCAACGCCAAACCAGTATACCCTAGATATCATTTGAAAAGCCCAATTAATTGTTTGGACTGACACACATTGTTGTATTTTTGTAAACATTACTGATAGAGTATATGGGCTTGGACCCCATGGCCCACATACTCAAGTCAACGATGACCAGAAGAACGCCCACGTGGTCCGCTTCGGCCCCATGGGACCCGCATCGGCCAGAAACCAAACCAGCCCAGAACACGAGTCTGGACTTCCGGGACCGCGTCGGCCCATGGACCGCATCGGCCATGGGACCGCATCGGCCAAAGCGCACCGCATCGGTCAGACTTCGTCCTGTCAGAATACATCTCTCTACTTTATTTACTAAGTATTGTACTCAGCCCATTAGTGGCCCTATTTCGCCCAAAGAAGGCATGATTATTGTAATGGGCCTCCTAAGCCCATGGCTAGGAGCCCAAATCCACATTTTTACCTATAAATAGACCCCTTAGGGCTAGTTATAGGGGTTGAGAAATATAATTACGCACTTTCTCTCTCTAGCTCTCACTTCTCTCTAGAATTAATACTCTATCAATTACATAGATGTTTTATGCAAGACTTGATCTCGTGGCCTGGTCACGCAGCAACACCTTAAGCTTACTCCTTTGACTATATCCTACAAAATACATCTACAGCTTATGACATCTAAACAGTCTGCTTTTTGGCAGATATAGTATTCATCTCATCATCTGTGGTGTATGTGTATTAGTGTTTCTTAGCCATCAATTCTGAACTTAAGTGCCTAGAGTCATCTCTAACGATTTGTAACTTCTGTCTCTTTCTAGATCTCAGCCTTTGCATGTGGAAACATAAGCTAATGGTCTTAAAAAATTAAGATTACACTACTGAAATAAGTTGTGTCTTACTTCTACACCATTTCCATTTTATTTGCCTCTAAGTGGTCAACCCAACTCTTTTATGTTCCCATATTTTCTACGGCAAACTATTATCATACTTAAATTGTTTATTTGCAGTCTAATACTTCTATAGTAGTTTTAAAATATGTAAATTTTTAAAAACTACTACTACACTAATTATTATGGAAAATGAATTGTGACTTAGGCTAAGCCTCATAATGCAAAACTATCTTATAATTTGGGACAATGGGTATTATCTTTACCATTAGGATTAACCTTTATATGTTCATGCTAATCCATTCAATTTTGGGCTGTTAGTATGATTACTAACCGCTAATTTTGTGTGTGTAAGTTTTTCTGTTTATCTGGCCGGTGGTGTTTCAAGATCACATTATGTGGAAGATACCTAGAATTAAGCAAGAGCAGCAAGGCCCACTGCCTAAGTAAGGGATACTTTATTAAAATGACTTGACAGTTGAGTAACCTTGCCCTAAAACTAGTGATGATGGGTTAAGCCCAATTATAATAGATCAGGATTAGTGATTATAGTGTTC